ATGGACGATCAGTGGCGGTTTTTGAGGATGTCGGATTTTCTGCCTGGCAAGCCATTTCTATGCGAAAAGCGTGACAGTTATTCTTAAGGGAGCACTAGGATTTGGGTGAATGTAATACGCCACGGTGAAGGACCACCGGCATCACCCTGCGGGGATTGCAGGTAGCACTTCCATATGGGAGGGTCAGAGATGCGCACCCTCGGTAAATGCACTGAATGACTGATTATAGTATATTCTGTGGTAAAGGAAAATGAGGGTGGAGTGAAATGCGTATGAACAGATAATTGTTTGGTCGTGCGAGTGATGTATGAGGGTATTTAGTTTGTTTCTTTCCTGAACTAATTTATCAAAAGAGAATCAGAGCTGCGTCATAAAGCCACGCGTGGAAGACGATAGTAGATTTAACTATTTTAATGGGTTTCTGAGGTCGCTGGTGATGATACAACACGACCTATATAGGATTAATGAGGACGGAGGAAAGAGCACCGAGGTCGGTAACTCAATCACATTACCTTCTCATCGAAGACAAAGAACGGGTGGGCAAATTTGACAGCGACATTGGAACAGTTCACGGAACCCTTGTGTGCCAAAGCCACCGTGCCCTCCACGGTGAGCATTTTTCGTTTCTCCACATGGGCACAAATATTTGGATAAAGACCGAGTGTTAGCAACGAGGTCAATGTGATACAATCCGGATTGTTGGGCACATTGAAATCGATCGAAGCATCCGAAAGACATTCTTCGGGGAAGGACAGATTGAGTAGTATCATACGAATCTGAACAAAGGAAACAGAAAATTTATAAGTAATAAGAAGAGCATCGTAAACAAAAAAGAAATATCACCATCAGTAATTTGTACTGATAACTGGGTTCGAAAATAGCAAAACAAAGCATAACTAAAACAGTGAAGTAAATTATCAGGTGTGGGAATTGTGTGAATTACCTGATTTCCTGCATCCTCCAAAATGCGTAACGAAGGACCATTTAATTCACGACGTTCACATAACATATCAGCAGCTGTATCACCACGGCGAGCACGTTCAGCAGACCAAACTTGGAAAATGTTTAGGCCGGCTAGATGATCACTGCAGTAACCAGCGGAAAACTGTCGCTGACCTTCAGACAATCGACGACGATCCGGTGGCATCAGGAACGGATCAATACCAAGACTGGAGGCGGAAGCGAGAAGCGCAGAGGCACAACCAAGTTTGAAAACGCAAGCAAACACCATCATCTTGCCCAGGCGTGGTTCGATTGGTAACCTGGCTAATATGGATCCCAAGGGTGTGAGTTCGTCATTCTTATCAAGAGCTTTCATCTCTGTTGTGAGGAGGAATGGGAGAGCGTGAAAACAGCATGACAGGCTGCAGAATCGCAAATTTTGAAACTTGAATATGAAGGATGTAATCGAACAAAGAAACAAGAATACGCCACCGGAAACCCGATAATAGGTTGAAATCAGAAGCGACATTAAACGCCGCAGAAAAGTAAAAAGAAAAAGCGTTACATAGACTGATTGTGCTAAGCAGATTCACTAGCACATATTCAGTCCAAATGGGCACAAAAAATGTGCAAAAATGAATTGCACGTGCTAGTTCACCGTCACAGTCAATCGTATCACTTAGTCCGTAACCAATGATTAGCGGCTGCAAGGTGCCCAACCAGAAACCCTTGCGAGACCTCCCTAATCAAGAACTCCATTCAAGGTTTTATAGTCCTAAGCCAGGTTGTCCTTTGATCACCGTTTCCCATCCAATCACCGCTTACCTCGACAAACATTTGCACATCTACGAAACCTGTTTCAAAGCGAGCGTCTATCGAGGTCAAGCGCAGCGAGTATCTCAGCACTACTTGCCCAGTCAACCCACCAGACTCGTGCAACACGACGTGGACAGCAGGTTTGAAACGGACAGCCTGCCGTGTGTATACATCGTATGGTAAAAGCTACCGGACAGCTACAACACATTCGAATAATTGCGGATAGTCAGATTTGGTGGTGAAACCAAAGGTTCCAGTTTAGTAAACACCAACTGTTAAGCTAGCACAATCGCGGTCGGATTATCGTTTATCAGGAAGGTCAGATTTTAAAAAGGAATCATTCGAAAATTTTGTGAGAAAACCCTAGAGAAAAAAGCTGCACAACTGGGTGTGCATTTGAACTCAGCTGACTGGTGAGACAGTGAGCGTGCATTCAACCGGGCGGTCCAACGTTGATGATTGGTCATTACCGATAAACATTTCAGAACGCACCGGAGGTAATAAAATGATCGAGTTATCATTCTGACACTCCCTAGTAGACTGTCTTGCGTCCACTGTACCTGCGTTCTCTTTTCGGCCCGGGGCTTTAAGGTACCATAGTCCTCAGTCCGCAACACGCTGAAGAATTCCATCCAGGCGCATACCTGATATCTACTTTCCGCACTGATGAACCAGTAGTAGAAAAACGCGTGGAATGCAATGAAGGCTGGCGTACACACCCCGGGGTATTTTTACACGACTGTGGGTGATAGCGACCTCTTGCAAGCTTGAGACCAGTGGTCAAACTGTCGTAACATACACTTAGCGTTTGGTGGATAGAAAAATATAAATTCAATGTGACAGATGCCTCAAACTGAGGAAGCTCGATCGTACTCAGACAGAAAAATAGAAAAACTCATTTAGTACCTTTGAGAGTGTATTCCGCTTCAATGACAGCATCCAAGGGTGGTGGCTGCATCGCCTTCATGAGAAAGTCCCCAACAGAGCCTAAGCGAAGCAATTTGATGAGCAAAGCCAACTCATGCAACGGGGTACGCAAAATCTCCGGTGTTGAGTGCTGCTTCAGCTGATCAAAACGAGCACGGCTGAAATAGAAATTAAATTGTCATTATTCATTAAAAACCTCACGTGTCTGCTTGCTTGAATTAACACGATCACAACGTATTGTATTCATTAATCCTAGATTTTTTCTTCAAACCAGTGGTAAGGAACCGCAATTACAAACTATTGCTTGGTACTCAAGTTCTGATAGTTCGATTGTATCACCCAAAGGTGTCGGTGCAATTAATCAACTGGTTTGGAGAGGGTAAACTCTGAACAGGGTTTATCAACTTAATGTGCTATGTAGGCGACAGCTCGCTTCACGTCAACGATTGGAACTGCAATGTTAACATTTCACACCGTTTGTCCTCTTTAGGTCTCTACAATTTATAATTACTTAATTTATCACTAAACAAACTGATTAATCAGGAAATCCTACAGCTAGAACTATGAGTCGTCGGTATGAGTGCTTACAGATGCACATTTGACTAATTGCAAAGATAGCAGTGATCAGTCGACTTATTGTATGACTACGTAACGTTAACCGCCTCACAAAATAATCAGAGAAGTCAGTGTTTGAACACAAGATTGGCATATAGTGGATTTTGTGTCCTTTTTAGATCACACATTTTTTGTGTGATGAATAGCAGAAGGGGTGAGCCTCATAGTTGCGAAGACTTGTTATTCATTGATGGAAACCGGCGTCCTCTGTCACGTGAATGAAATGGTGAACCACATAAGGCCCCACTGGGATAGGTGTGGTATTGAACCGGATGACAGCAAAGCTGCCTAAGACCAAAGTCAGGTGGCGGGGTATAAACCTCCGATCATTGGATCCAAAGCACGCCGATGGTAACTAAACCACTGGGCCACCACCCAAGCGAATTTCTTAACAGATTCAAATTGATCACAAGACATTTATAGCTACGGTGAGATACGAATTAGTATGTTTACGCAACACGCGCTCATCTCTGCAGTTCCAACAAGCTGTGATCTTAAAATTGTTGTTCTGATTAACTGATTGAATTCTATCTGTGTGTATTATCTGTATCTAGCTCCTTGCGTCGTTTCACGTCTAAAGACTTAATGGTTTCTTCCTATCCCTCTTTTTAGTCACCGCAAAACTTGGACAGTTGCAGTGTACGCCACTGATTCTGGAAGTGTAGAGTATCCTGTATATTTATTTTTTGTTTGACTTTGTTTCAAGTGATACTTTTATGCTGCTTGTGGAACTGCTTTCTAATGTCTTGCCCAACTATCTTTATCACTAAAAGTATAATGTATCAGTCGGCAGATACAGTAAGCATGGCACCACCCAATATCATGCCAGACCTATTGGGGCTTTATGTGGTTCACCACTTCGAGTCCTGGGGCTTAGGTAACCGGTTTTCATCACTGAACAGCCGGTCTTCGTAACCATGGGGTCCAGTCCCGTCTGTTGTTCATCACATAATAGATAATGGAGAAAGGAAAAAAACAAATCCGGACAAGACTGGTCATCACACCAACTCGATTCCAATAAAACTGCCGGGACTGAAAACAATATCCTTCCCATGCGTTCCAACATCATCCTTGGGGACCTCTCAATCGTCGACAAGGGAACAATGAGAGATACAAGCTTTATCCGCGACGATTACTTGCTTCACTGTTACACCAACAATTATGGTAACGAATTTCCCATAGGAATATTGGACAACAAATGAGAGATAGACGACGAAGTTCAATCTCGGGTAGATTGGAATGGGTCTCAAACGATAGACAAACGTGATCCTACCTGCACAAATGAAATGCATATCCTGGACGAACACGTCCTGCCCGACCTCGTCTTTGCTCCAGATTGGTTTTACTAGCCCAAGAGGTTGAATAGGACGTGAGATTATTGCGCGCTGTGAATTGCTTCATTCGAACCAAACAAAAGTCGATCACAAAAACAACATCATTGATCGTGATTGATGTCTCGGCAATGTTTGTAGATAGCACAATTTTTGTGACACCCGGGGGAGGGGAGCGAAATACGAGGCGTTGATCTTCTCTCGGTACTTGTGAATGTAATGGAAGTATCAGATAGTCGGTGCTTCCAAAACGTGGGTGCGCCTGCAGGAATTTTCTCAAGAGGCTGATAATATTCCATCCGGGTAGAAATATCAGAACAGATCCAGGAATATCCATGGAAGCGATCTGCTCGAGAAGGCGTGCAACAAGATCAAATGGGACTTCTTTTTCCGTGATTTCACGCATAGCGTTTGCCACGACTGGTCCGTACTCTGGATCACAAATGTTATTGCAATTTTCCTCGCTAGCCTCCAGTTCTTGAGCAGGATCTAGTCGACGCTTACGTTTTCTATCGTCAATAGGTGGCACGTAGTTGAGCATTTTGATGCAGTCCTCCAAGAAGTAATCTGAGGTATAGAAATGAAACAGAAAGAAACACATCCTAGTTACAACTGCTTTCATGAGAAACCTCGTAAGAGGTACTCACAATAGAGCGGATATCAATTCCGGCTAGTTAAATGCTATCTGGAGTGTCCGCAGGTAGTGCATAAGATAACGGCCACCAGAATGATGTCTAACCGTGAAAAAAGCAGATTTAGGCACACTACAGCCACGAACGAACACCAATATGAGGAAGTGGTGGATTTTTACTTCGCAAGCGCCCTCCCAAATAAAGAGCTACAACGAAATCGTAACTTGGAGACGGTGATTTCCCCCAAATGAGGTTATCACCTCTCGTGCCGTTTCATCCACTCAAAAAGACTTTCGGAAGGAAGCAAATCAACAACACTACTTACCACCAACTAGCCTGGGAGAACCCAGTGGTTCCACTTATGCAAAGGTTAGAAGTGCAAGCTGAATACAATGACCGAACAATATTGAGGTCAAGGCTCAGCATTTTATTACCAATAATCTCCCGATGGATTACTGCCACAGTTATGAAGCTGATCTATCTACTAGCACGAGATAATGGCTTCAGTTGGTGCGGCCCGCCTTCCAGGTTGGGGCCCAAGGGATGAGGACTGTCGTTTGTTAGAGACGCTGAGAGATATGGTGCAGAATAGAAGTCAGTAGCGTGAATACTGTACGGTCTGCCTGTTGAAATCCCGTGCCGCATAAAAAACGATAAAGGCAAAAATAACAAAAAGTATACGGTGAAACAAAAAATTGTTATTCCCGTAAGTAAATTTAACTGTTTGCTCCTTTTTACTCTGCTATGTATCCCAACCCCCCATGATCCGGTATTCTTGTTGTTGCGTTGGCACCAAACTTGCTCGCAAGCTGATGATATATATATATATATATATATATATATATATATATATTGTCGACAAAATTTCACATTACTATTTGTGCTACAAAGCAAGCAACGAATTCTACAAACGATCAGTTATCTGCAATCAACCAAACGGAAAATGTCTCTTGCTTAGTGTGACACAGCAACGAACGGCCACTCGGAGCGTAACCCAGTTGTAAGTCGAGAAGAGTTCGTAAACATTATTTATCTGCGCATAAGCGGTTGTCAGTTATGGGATCCTGCGGCTTAACGCAAGTACATTCTAGGTGGTACCCTAAAAAAATTCATCCACCTGTAATTAAAGGAAAAATTCATTGAATTCACTTACAATCCACGGGGTGGGTACGACCTTCGATATCCAGAATGGCACATTCTCCAAAGTAGTCTACAAACATGCTAGTATCAATTGTGGCCGACATTAATACAAGCCGAAGTCCACTATGGGCGGCAATCATGTCTCGAAGTAGAACCAGCATAAAATCTGTGTTTACATCGCGTTCGTGAATCTCGTCCACAATGATGTGCGAGACTCCACGCAGACCCGATTCCATTTTACGTGCCATGGTGCCGACCGTGCAGAACAGGATGGATCCGTAGGGCCGTGGGAGTATGCTTTCAAAACGTACAGAATAACCCACCGAGGTTCCAACCGCTTCGCCACGCTCATAAGCAACACGCTCCGCCAAACTGATCGCTGATATTCTTCTGGGCTGAGTCACCAGAACCGCACAATCGGCTCCAGTACCGGACTCAATGAAGGAATCCAAGATGAACTGCGGAATCTGCAAAACAGAAAAATACGGTACAGGGAATTAAACGAATCAACAGCCTAGGTGCAAGGACTGAGAGTAATGGAGTACAGTGACAGTGGTGTTTGCTGTATCGCGCGTAATTTAGCTTTACAAATCCCTATCCATTCCACAGCCCGCAAACCGTACTTATCACACAAGTAAAGCGCAAGTCACGTCTCTCGATTCCCCTCAATCTAACATGGAATACATAAGTTTCCATTAGGGTGAGTAACATTTAACTAAGTGATATGAAACTATCCACACGAGGACCCAAGGTGAATTCTGCTTATCATTGTTTTATTACACACTTTTGTGTGATCAACAGCAGACGAGGTAAACCCATAGCCAAGAGGACCTGCTGTTCATTGATGGAACCCAGTAACCTAAGCCCCGGGAATGGTGAACCACATCAGACCCCGACAAGTTAGGTGTGACAGTTAAACCACGCAACTTCGGACCCGGGGAAAAGGAACATTTCGTTTTAGTTTTGCTGTCCATTTATGTGCCTTACAACAGAGTAGCCACCTAAACACATCAAAGAATAGCGCCCAAACCAGATAGTATGACCCTCAAATATCATATCCTCAACCAAATAGAATAAATACTACGAAACCGGTGACATAATGCCTTAAAATTTCATCAGAGTTAGATTACAATTAACAAATTGGATGAGAAAACTGAACAGGCTCACTCACTTGAGTTGTTTTTCCGCACCCAGTTTCGCCACGAATGAGAGTCACGCGGTTATTCCGAACCGTTTCAACAACAGAATGTTGATATACATGCACAGGTAACTCCGCTCGGTCTTTCAATATCCCTCGCAACTGAGGTGAGTGATCGATCCGGTGAGAGTGCTCCTCTGCTAATTGGGCATTTATTTGATTAAGTGGTAAAGATGCCTGGAGAAAAGAAACATTTACTTATTGTATGAAATCAAATATATTTGAACTGTCGTTAGGATGGCAGGTCAGCAAAAAGATGGTTGCAGAAACTTACGTAAGGACCTTCATCAATGTTGCACCCGGTCCAAGGATTCCAGTTGGGTTGCGGTGGGCACCAAGCCACTAACTGAGGTGCTTGCTTCGGGGACTCCTCGAAGTCGGTTAAGTTGTAATGTGTGATCATATTAAACGGTTGCTCCGGTGTGACTACTTTAGGTGGTTGAGCAGTTGGCGGTAAACCCAAATCGGCTAATAATTGGTTCAGAGAACGCTCCAGCGCAGGATCCACAGTCACATCAGTCGGAGACACCTGAAACAGATAAAAATGAACGAAACTAGCTATCCTGGTTAAAACATCATAATCCAGACGCAAAAGAAGAAACTTTTTGTTTTCCATTTGTTTTACTGTTATGGTTCTGGTTACTGCTTAAGTCATCTTTCTCTGTCTCCCTTCACCGCGATGGTTCACTTCATTTTCTCCTTCCAGGCTCACTTCCTAACCACATTATACATTTTCACTTACTCTGCGTATATCAAGATCTAGGAAGTGATCAGCGAAGTTCAATTCACAGTATGCACGACGATAACATCGGGATAAAAGATTTCTTTCTCCACTTTGATAACTGAAGCTTACATAGCCACTCAGCCCAAATGTTAGAGATTCGTCGACAGCACGTGAATTCAAGTTCTCAATTCCATAAATATCTAAGGTGGGAGTAATAGTTTAGAGCTTCTCAGCGAAGTGAGGACGCAAAACCAATATTCATTGACGAATCAGCGGTACCTACCGCATCTAGAGAATGAAAAACTTAATTCTCAAGGGTCTAAACGAAGGCATACTAAATGGTTACAAAGCATCCTGGGTGTGACAGTCACCAACTGCAAAGAACAATAGGGTGTACTGGACACCCTGACAAGAGCATAAAATGGGATATATATATATATACGCCATAAGAAATATGCGAATGACTGGATAAAATTTCCCTGAAAGCACACGACAAGTTTCGCAGGTTTTGCCGCTATTAAGGTATGCGTATTCAGTAATCTCGCATTAAGTCATTTATTTATTTGAACCCCAAGTGTATATTTCCGTTCAAATGTTCAATTGTTCGGTGAGCGGTTTGGATGTGATTGACGTATCCTGCACATTTCAATTGCAATTCCCACCCACTTTAGTCGACTTTATTTCACACAATGATTAACACCGTGTCTCTTTTCGGTTACAGTATTTTGGAGGCCTCGGCACGGTTGGGGTGGGAGGTGCTCCGGGTTGTGGTTGGTTTGTCCCTTGCACCTCACCAAATGCTTCTATACAATGAGGTGTCATAAGGACTCTGCTGAGGAAGCCCTAATTACTGCCTTCCCGTGGTAAATGTCCCCTCCCTCCATCAAATTGAGAGGACGAAAAGCCAATATCCAGGGCTACAACCGGGTCTGTGAACCACTGGACGCTCACCTAGGGGAGTTGACTACAAACCCCGATTCCAAACCAACCAAGAATTGGTGCACGAACCACAAACACCTTCCTGGTTGTGGTAGTGGTCACCAGCTCCGTTGGGCAGATTGGACATTTGAACTCGTCCGAAGGGGGTATGATCTAATGAACGGAAAATCAGCCCCCAATGGATTGCGGTTTTCGCACACTGCTCCAATGCCCTGTGGGTCAGGCTTTGGCTAGCCGAAGGATTTGGTCGTGAATTCCTTGGAAAAATTAACCTGCCTCGGTCTAGAGAGCCTGAAGGTATCGCGCTGTGCGATTTAGAGTACGCAGATGACATCGTCCATCCGTTTGAATGTGTGAAGGACGTGCAAAGTATACTTGATAGATTACCAAGTAGTTTCTACATTCGGTATTCACTTTGTACCTTTAAGGTGCAAACTGGTGCTGCAAGATTGGGTGTCACCTACTCCCGCTTTAAATGACCAAGAATTAGTTATATTGAATTGCTTTTCTTACCTAGATAGTTGTGTGACTAATGAATGTAGCGCAGCAAAGGAGATAATCACCCACATTTCCAAGGCTTGAGCAGCGTACGCAGAACTGAAACATCGTTGGTGAAAAAGCGATGTTTCACTAAATTTGAAGGCGCGGGCATATTGTGCTACAGTACGTTCAGTTCTGCTTCATGGTTGCGAGTAGATATTCATCAATTATCGGTGTTTACGTAGTTTAGCCCACGTGGGATGGAGCGAACGGGTTAGTAATCTGGAAGTGAACAGTCGTGCGTTTGGGAGTCTATCAGGGAGAAACCTGATAGCAGATCGAATTCAGAATAATAGACCTCGGGCACATATTGCGCAAGCCTAGCAGTCGTCTGCTGCACCGCGTTTGATTCGCTGAAGCCACGCTGGGTTGGTCAACAGATGACGTGGAGATGAAGCCTAGATAAATACATACAGCCATTAGGTAGAATAGGTGTCTAGCGCATCGAACCGACAGTAGTGGCGTTCTTGTTATCATTTCCTATCAGACCAGGATACTTGAAACGGTATGTATGCAGAGTTCAATTGTGTACTCTGCGTGATGACTATAGAGGTTCACCTTCTTTCTCCTCCTTGAGAATAGGTCCCACCTTTATCCACCTTAAATCTCATCACTAACTTTGTATGTATTGCGAGTTTGGCAGCGATCAGTGAAGTTCGCTTCACCATAGTTGACTGTACAACGATGATGATGACGATAGCAGTCATGCCTCACAATCATAAGTGAGGATGGGGCGGATGGAAGCCTGGTGAACCTGAAATTTAGTGTGTAAGCTTTATATAACAATAAACTGTACTGCGATCACCAGTCTGGTACAGTAATAAAGGAAGAGATACAGAAGAGTATAAATTTAATTTGAGTTTGTGTTAATCATACACGGGATCCAAATGGACGTGCTTGCGTTGTTTACTATGAATTTTTGATAGGAAGTGTTCCAAACGTCACCAAACTTTGCAACGGGTATCCGATTTATGTAATAACAAACATCAAGTGAGGACAGACATTTTTGCTGTTCCACCAATAGCTGATTGTAACAAGCACCTTCGACTATTCCGTGTTTATAAGTTAGATTAAAGTAAAGGGATACAACAAAACAAAAGTCAACTAGCGATTGCGAAAAAGGGTATAATGCTTTAACAAATAAATAATAGCTAGTGTACGAAGTAAAATTACCTCGTCATGTTTCTTCTTCTTCTTTTCACCCGTATAAGCTTCGATCTCGCCGGCATGAAAGAGTTGCCGAACCAAAGACAGACAACATGCGCGTGAAGCCATTTGTTTATTGGAACCACTGCCACGCGCACAAAGAAATTTTCGTGACTTCTTGGCATAAATGGTCAATTCGGCAGCATAACTCCTAGTATGAGGTAGTGTAAATGGGATGAAGAATTTTTCGAAAGAATTGTTTGGAACAGAAAATCATTTTCAAAAAGATAAAAAGTATTATTCATCCAGAGAACGCACCAAGAGGAAGGAAAAGACTGATCAAAGTGATTAGAAGTTGAAACAACTGCAAAGGATTGATATAGAGCTCCGCTTCGGTAATTTTCCCATCAAATGTTGCATCAGAAACCGAAAATGATCATCTCCTTATGTTCGACAACACGAAGACAACAGTATCTGTGGTTCAGCCAGTTGTCGTTGACACAAATTATGCAATGTACACTAGTACATTCCATCCCACTATCTAATCCAACCATCAGTTCATTATCATGACTGGTAGATTCACTGGAACCCCATGTAGTACTACATCCAGCACAGTGACCTCCTATGGTTCAAGATTTCGACGTATTGTTTTTTTTTATCACACTCACATTTGTGTGATGAACAGGATATGGGGTGGATCCCGTATTTGCGGAGACCTGTTGTTCGGTAATGGAAAATAGACCCCGAGACTTGAAGTGGTGAATCACGCAAGGTCCGCTAGGTTAGACGTGGTATTGAAGCGGATGACAGATAATAACCAAAATTCCCTGGGATTAGAATATAGTGAGAAGTAGATTTTTCAAACGACGGAGCTTCGTTCATTATGTATGGCAGGCCATTACGCAGTGAAAAACAGCTTCATTATTATGGTGATTTCAACATAAGGGCATAGACCTCAAAGATCCTCAGCTGACGAAAAAGTATAAATCTGAAAACAAGAAAAACGAAAAGTTCTGCTACGCGACAATCCACTGAGCAAAATGATTCACTTATCAAACAGTTGATTCATAAAATCATTAGATTGTCTGTTCGCAAAAGCAAACTAAGCTCATAAAACGCCAACCAAAAACATCAAACTGTAAATGTAACGTAAAGATAGAGCGATGAATATTAATTTTTTTCTTTTGATGAGAGGGAAACCAGAAGTGAATGTTACTAGGAAAATCTAAACAAAAAGCATCGGTCTTTTGTCTAGCCGAGACTAATCGATGACGGTATTACATCCGAACCAGTATGTACACTTTCCAGAAACACTACAAGAACTTCGAGTACACGACTACTCCTCACCAACAACTCATCATCCGAATATCTGAAAAGAACTGGTAGGTTCTCGTTATCATACAGCGAAATGCGGTAAACCAAACTTTGTTAACAGCCATCATGCTCAAATTGTGTTCAAAATAAATACGAATGTGTAAGACTGATAGGGAGACAGAAAAATGGTCCACCTAAGTGAGGATAAAAGGTGAATTATTGTTGTCTAACTTTTTTGGTTTTACGGAGACTGGTTCCTGAGAGGAAAAGCCGGCTTCATGAATATCAAGTGAATATCCATGAAATTTCTCGGGAATTAGGTACAGGAAACGTCCCCAGCGTCACCCGGCTTTGGGTCGAGGTGGCACCTCTAGCCTTTGCACATCAAAGCGCTAAATGCAAGGCAGCAGAAAGGTAGTGCATGGTTGCCGGTGACCTTCAGGGGTCCATGCATCCCTGATGAGTATGGAGTCATTGCCTTGACGGTTGAATCGTGAAAGCGAACTCGTCCGCCCAACACGTACGTTACACACCGACTCGCCGAGAGTTGAGCTCCCGGTTACCCTCAACCTGATTGAGCCGGCCTATCGGCCGGTTTACTGTGGTGTGGCCGCTGTTGCATGCAGAAAGCTTAGTGGAGCCTGGTGGAGACCAAAGAATAGAGGATGCCCCAAAAGAGCCGACAGCCCTCCGAGTCAGAGGCGATACTCCTACCGGGTACCCCATACACTGCGCATATACGACCGTTTAGGCATTTTGGTCTGCTAATAAGTGTCAACTACAACGTCATCGCTAACAGCTAACGGCTCTACCCATCAGTCTCCAGTCAATCAGATATATTGTTCAATCATGTTGTTGGCAGATTCAAGTCTTATGGTTGAACTGGTAAAAGTTCAGTAGTTTCGGTGTGATTCGAACTCAAGCATGGAGGCTGCTGAACTTTTCCCAATTCAAACATAAGATGTCATCTTTTCGGTCATGGACTTTGACCCCGCTTCTTTTCATCGTATAATCAATGCCATTTATACAACCGCTAACCCTGGACGTTCATGCGACGGTTTTGATTTCTTCTTTTGGATGAGAAAGTAGAATAAACAGTAGAAATGTGGATATGGTAACAGTGTAAAGATACGGAATAAATAAATTAAACTTGCGAAGAAACTGAGTGGATGCAAAAATGCCAATGCTTATGAAATTTAGTGTATCTAGCCAGGGATCAAAATGATTCAGAAGTCCTTAACGGAGGAGCCTAATATAACCCATTGGCTTATGTGTCTCTTCACNTCCCCCCCCCCCCCCCCCCCCCCGTGCGGTCAGGGTTTTCATACTACCGAAGCCAGGTTTCAGTTACACCACTTTTGACATTTCACTCATTACTTGCTTCGGAAAATATCGCACACCTAGGGAGACTACCTGTAGCCGCTTTTCCTTCGCTTGGTAGTTGGTTCGTTATCTCTTTTCTACCGTTACTATTTTTCGTTCCTCCGAACTCCCTTCAGTGGTCCTCCTCTTGTCTATCTTTTCAGGTGGGCGACCATCATTATTAGGTTTCTGCCCCCAAATGTCTAACTTTTAGCCTCTGGTTCTCTTTTCTTCCCAAATGAAATTGTGAAAAACTTCCCATTTCCCTATGTTCAACCAATTTTAACTCTACCATTTTTAAAAGCTGGATCAATAAACTGGTTCTCAACTGAATGTTACCCCACATATTCTCCCTCTTACGGTATACCTTTGACTATGGAGTTTACCCCTTGTGCCGTAAGTCGATTCGTGAGTAATAAAAATAATAATAACAGATAAAAAAACAAGATTATCGCACAATGGGGTGTACTGTAAAAGGAACATGCTAATAGTGAAGTTGTGTGATGTAGTCGTACAGGGTGTTAGTATTTTTGGAGTAAAAAATTGTGATAGACAGATCATTTTATA